AGGGACTCTGAAGTATATGAGCTCTTTCTTGCTTTCTTTTTCTCAGGAGATCCCCCAGCCCATGGCTCAGTTTTACTGCCCTGGCTTCATCCTCTTGAATTTCCCCAGGTCTGTCCATCCAGCAGCATCCATGTTATTTTACAGGGGGTGAGGGGAGGAATCCCAAGATGCACAGTCCGTTTTAATTTGAGCCTTTGGGCCAGCATGCCGGTGTCCTTTGCAAGGAGCGTGTTATAAATGTTTATTTTTATACTTCGTGGAACAGACAACAGTTTTACTTCTGGAAAGGCCATTTCTGCTGCCTTTTTGTTTCCGTGCATAATCCGTCCGGCTGTGAGATGGACCTGGAGAGGGGGAAGCTGTGTCCCATGCCTCAGTTGATGCTGGAACTTTATCTCATCCCGATTAGGAAAGGCTCAGAGGGACTGAGGCTGCTCAGAGGCAGAGACCCAAATTACCACTTTCTTTGAATGGGCCCGGATATAATACACATGCCTTGTTTTTGAAATGCAGAACGAAGAGAAAAAGATTTTTCCAGGAGTTATAGCTGCCTAGAGCAAGGGCAGAGCCTCATCTTTGGCTGACCCACCCTCCTTTTCCAGCTTAACTAAAGCTGAATCCCTAGCTGCTGTTGAAGACCGGTCTCCATGCGTGGATCTATGATTCCTGAAAAATGCTAATAAATCTGAACTAAAGAGGCTGTGATTTAGACTGGGAGCAGGTAGCAAATTGCCCCAGGAATGGTTATCTCGATCCCTGGAACATCGAGAACATTAAAAAGGAAGTGCTGGTCATTAATAACATCTGTCGAGTGGAGAACAATGGGCCATGAACTCCACTGACTTTCTCCTTTGTCCAAATAGTAATGCCACAACTGCTGCACTGTGGAGCAGGATCTAATCTGGGTGCTTCCAGCCCTGGGGCAGAAAATCAGCTTCCCTGCTTAATTGACGCAGCCCAGTTTTGGAGGGAGCCTGATTTCCTGGGTGGGAAAAATGTGATATATGAGAAAATACAACATAGAGCTGGGCGCTCCAGCACGTGGGCAAGTCCCAACGGCCTCCAGCGGGGCTTTGGCCTGGTCTACACTGCATTTTGCCTGCCCCACTCAGCGTGTCCATGGCCAAAGCTGTCTTCACGTGGGCTCAGTGTCAAGTGCCAAAGTCCTTCCCGCCAGCCTCCTCCTTCCAGCTCGAGACAGGGCTGCCTGAGGTCCGAGGACCTGGCCCTGCTCCCGCTGACATCCGTAGGAGTTGGGTAGGTCCTGATTTCACCGTGGGCCAAGGCTTTCCTTTGCTGCGGGACTCAGCATCCTGGTGCTAGTGCCAACAGAGCAGACAACACAGATGCCAGAGGCAATGTGAGCACCTAGCATTAAGGATCCTAGTGTGCAAGTTTAGGGGTTTTTATTATTAATTTTTAAATGATTAAAAAAAGATGCACCCATAGCAGTGTGCTCCTGGAAAGCCACCAGATGCCCTCTTCTCTCACCCAGCCGGAGCCGCTCAGCTTGTGGCTTGCTCAGGATTGAAGCGTACCAGCCAGTGCCCCCTTCAAAAAAGCCAGTGACTTTTGATTCCTGCCTCCGGTCCACGACCTGGCAGCAGCCAGCACACAAAGAGCCCATCACTGACCTGCGTTCCCCGTGCTGCCCATGACTGCTGTTCACAGGGCTCGCACCGTGATGCTCTCTCCATCTCCCGTCCGAAATACAGCTATCCCAGCGCTCTCCGAGGGAGGAACTGTGCCTTAAACCTAGGGGTCCTCCATTTCCTTCCATCGTCTCGTCCAAGTCGCCTCGCTGGGAAACGCATCGGATCTGCTGTCTCGAGCCACGGAGCAGAGGGAACTGAGGATGTCGGCAGAAGATGGGACCTGTGGGTTTAACCTCACTGCTTTTAAAGGACTTTCGGGGGGGGGGGTGTCTGTTTTTAATGGCTCGGTTCTTTTCTTATCGCTGGATTTCTCTCCTGGGGAAGGAAGAAGCGGCAGGTGCTGCCATTTGCTTGCTTAGTGCTCTCAAAGGACCTTGTACTACAGTATTTTTTCCATTGCTGCTTTCCTGCCTCGGCACTGGATTCGGGTAAATCCTTCACTTTTCATAGGAAAAAGCAAATGACTTTTTTTTTACCAGCTGAGACCTTGGTGAATTTTGTTTTGTGCCAAACAAGACCAGCAGTTACAGCACGGGACATGCGTCTTGCTGCTGCTGTTACTTGTATTATTATTTTATTAAGGGTTTAATGCGTAGCGAAGGCTACCCTGCAGGCAGCTGAATCGAGGATTGCAGATCGCTGGCTCGCAAGAAGGGCCAGCTCCTTGTGCAGTGCAACCCCCGGGCACCGGCAGAGCCAGTGCAGCCGTGGCTGTGCTGAAGTATGGCAGAGGATGGCCTGGATTAGATGGGGGGGCCGCATTCTGCCTTGGTCCTTGGGCCCTGCGTGCCGGTGGCTGTCTCTCCAAGCAGAGTTGCCAGGGACGGGTTTTCGCATTGCTGGGGATGGGCCCCGCTTTGCCCAGAGCTGCAGGCTCCCCGGGGCATCCAGCATGCAACGGCTCTTGCTCTCTCTGAATGTCGCTGCTGCAGAAGGAGATGCGTGGGGCAGCACTGATAGGTTTTATTCTTTCACAGGAGGTTCAAGACTGGGCAGCCGGGTGCTCACAAGAGGTGTTTTTAATCCCCAGGGCATCGGGGGGTTTTTTGCAGAGACACCACCCCGGTGCATGGCTTTCTAGTCCCTTCAGGGTGGCTGTAGCAATGATCCAACAGGCCTAGGGCACAGCTGCTCATGCCCTGCCCTGGCTTTCAAGGTGTTCCTGTTCACTACCGTACAGCACCCAGTTCAGGTTAATCCAGCAAGGCACATTGGCACAACCAGCTCGCTCACTTGTATTTTCTACTTCACGCTAAAGGCGAGTTTTCACTGTATCAGTGTTCACTATAAGTAGACTCCTCCGCGTGTCTCCGACTGTACCCGTGCACTGCAATACAGCCGACCCTTCCAGGAAATACCAGGGGGTCTCATGTAGCCCTGCCAGGGTCAGCTTCCAGCCTGGTGCATGGAGGGATGAGCCATGCCATGGGGGTTGCTCCATCCCGTGTCCGGCTTCCTCCGAGCTGCAAGGCTCCCCTGCGTTGCGACGGCTAGCTGTACATTGCACACTGATTGTGGTCCCTCTATGCAAGCCTGTTCTATTTTGACTGTTCATCCTGTCATGTTAATCAGGTTTAACATAGGACGTTGGGAGGATGTGTAACCAAAGCATCCTCTGTGTGTGTGTAGAGCCTGCTTTGCTTCATCTTGAATCCACTGAATGTAAAGGGAGCACTGCCTCGCTCGCCTTGTTCAATAAACCATAGTCGTTCATTATCCGCCTCATCCGCCTGCCTCTCCATCCTAGCTCAGTTCATCCTCATCTTTTAATTTAATTTTTTTTTTGGGTGCTTAGCTCATTATACCAACAATGA